CATGCCTCTTGTATATTTTTTATCCGTGGTCGAGTTAGGCTTAAATTAGTGCTGGAGGATGTCGTTGAAAGGTGTTGATCAACTATCATCTACAAAACAGTTAGTTACAATTCTACTATTATTATTTTATTTATTTTTAAACCCCGGGGGAAGAAGGTAGTACTTACCCTCCCCCCAGTTATGTCCAAATATATCCAGTCAGTACTGGTTAAATCTGCCACCTAAAGTGACCGAGGTTATCTTTTCACCCGTGTGTGTGTGTGTGTGTGTGTCAACAGGATTTCTCGAAAACGGCTGAATGGATTTGGACGAAAGTTGGTATACATTTGGACTATGACCCAACTTAGAATTGCTTAGTTTTTGGAAGGGCCAAGGTCACGAATATTCAAAAACTCCCTATCCGTTAACACGGGGACCCGATTTTTTCACTCTAACTCAGTCAAAAATAATCGGATTTCGATGAAATTTGTTGAACACATGCAGAATCGTTATCCTGCCAAAAATGGTCCGTGTCAGTTGATAACTACAAACAAGTTTTCGTATTTCTTGAGAGCCGAATATGATCGACGCTGCCCGGCGGAGGTATGCGCTCTATTGAGTGCCCCCTATAGTTCGTTATCGTTTCTAACCACAAATACTTTGTTTTGGAAGATTTCGTAAAAAAAAAGGTAATTCCTTCCATATTTATTAGCCCATCTTGGATGTTAATATATTGAACTTTCCCGTATAACAAATCTACAAGATGGAAGCTTACACAAAAAATTTATCAAATGATCAATAAACAAATTAATATTAATATTATTATTATATTTATTTTATTATCTAATATTGTGTCATAAGTTTCTGTTAGTAGCATTACACAATTCACTTTCTCTACAACAGGGATTCCCAACCTTTTTCTTCCTCTGTACCCCTGGGCCTTGGGCATTCTGACAGGTTCCCATGTACCCCTAAAAATTAAGGTCAAAAATTGATAAAAATATATAGATTTTATATTATTTTATTATGAAATCTCTGTGTGGACTGCATAAGGATCTTATAGTATTGGTAGCATCGATAAATTGGACTCGGCGTATATTTATGTGAGCCACTTTGTCTGACTGTAGATTAAAACACCATGTAAAGTGTAAACCATGGTTGTACTCTCAGACCCCTATGTACTCCCTGAGAAGTGCAAATGTACCCCAGGTTGGGAATGTCTGCCCTTCAAGATTGTCCCACTGTCACTGTAAAATCTGTGCTTTCTATTTTTTTTCTGCTAGGGGTCAGATGTTTATAAAACTTGCATGAATTAATTACATCTGTCGAAGAGTTAATACAATAATTGTCGAAACGGCGTAAACTTGGGATTATTTAGATAAATCGAAAGTTAAAAGGATTCGTATAGGTTCTTAAAAATCCCCATTTTCTGAGGGAAGTGACTAAGAGTAATTGAATTTACTGAACATCTAGTTAAGATGCCTCAGGTCTATTACCTGAACGTGATTTGTAACATCTCTTTTTATAAGACAAAAAAAATATATATAAACAAATAGTTATGGACCTCATATTAGTGTGCAAATGTCGTAAACTTAGGCCCTTAAATTGTCAAAGTTTTGTTTAAATTCCTCAAAAGTCTGAATTTTGGACCTGTAAAATGTACGAATCATAATTAACTGCGTAGATTAAAGCTGAAAAGTAACTTGTAAATTAATGAAAGCTTGTTTCGTTGAATTACCAGTTGGCGGAGCTAGCGTCTTTTGCCTATATATATTTAGCATAATCCCAATAATATTTGAGGTTTATTTAACTTCAAGGGACAGTGTCTTAGCGAAGGAAGGAAACGACTATTTTTCGTGTGTTCATAGAAATATAAATTATTTTACTGTTGTTTCTTTCTTGTGAGGATTATTTTAAATTGTGTGCTTAGTGTATGGATTTGTAACTTAATCTAAATGCCCTAAGCTGGCCGAAATCTCGTACATTGCTCATACTGAGAGTCTCCAGTTGATGAATCAAAGCATTTAGTCTCTAAGTGAGAACGGCGTATTAAATTATCTATATTTGTATTCGTTACCGAGTTAATTTTTACTTGTTATTTATGTAGGTTAGTAGTTTTGATCAGAAGTTAATGAGGCTGATAAGCAGGATGTTTAGATTAGTCCTAAGTCTTAAAACTAAGCTAACAAAGCAAGATAATGTTAACAGTTTTAAATATTAATTCAAAAATGTATTCAGGTTGGTTTTAACGTTGCAACGAATAAGATCCAATGAAGTAAGTATAAAGTAAAATGGAGTAGTAATACTTAAACGACTGATGTTTGTTTTGTATTTAAGAATACATAATATTCAATATACTTTATGAACGTTTGCGTATTTAAATTACAGTAGGGCACGTGAAGTACGAAAACTAACGGATGTTAGGACCAAAAAATAACCTAAAGATCGTAAACAAAAGCACGCTAATCTGTAGAACCATACATGTTCGGTTTACCTTAAGGTACATAAGATATAGAATTTGATTGATTTAAAAAAAAAAAAAAAGTTTCGAAATATTCTGCATAGCCGATGACAGTCGGCGGAAGTAAATACACACTTTTCCCGTACGTCTACGATGGCCTGTGAATCTCGCAAAAGCTGGGAACTAATGATATTTTTGTTTGCTAGAGGCAAGTGACCGTCTGTTAGTCCTGGGGCCCATTTCTTCGAAGGCTTGATAGTCCGAAGTTGGAAGTTTTTTTTTGTTTTGTTTTTAACAGTTAAAATGTTAAATTAATTGGTTAAATTTGTAAAATGACAAAAACACTCCAGGATATGACCTAAAAGGTTGCAGTCTGTCATGAATGGATGGATAATGTTTATCATAATTTCCCCGATGTTCAGGTTGAGATTTAGAAATGTTGCTCTCTTCTGAGATTCTTTTTCCATAGTTCTGTGACAACGAATGTTAATATCCCAGACTCGTTAAACATTTTGAAAGCTTCCAGTCAGTAAAATAATCTTGATATCAAGCCAATGCAATGAGCTGTACGCTACAATGTCTATTGAAATATTTCTGTTGTGTGTACTTAAAACGAGAGCAAGCCGTCAGGAGCAGTTGGTCCCCTGAACCCCCACCCAGATGTGCCTACGGATTTGTTTATTTATTCAATTTTGACTTATATTGCGTA